TGCTTGAAACATGGTCCTGATGTTCCAGGTGGCTATATTAGTAATCCTCTTGGGGGATAGAAGGGGAGTCACCTTGACAGCTTCCTGATGGCTTTCCCTGTCCTGCATCCAAGAATGTCCAAGGGCCCTTCCTCTCCCAAGTCTTGCTGCCTTGAAGTTGTTGTCAATGTTTGCGTGTTTTTATAGATACGGTTGTTAGCCCTACGCCAACCTCTTTACCTTGAGGAGAGGTGATCCTGTTTGTCAGGCCCCTACCCATTGACCTGTCCAGCATGGGAGACCCTACCAGGAGCCTAAGCTCCAGCTGGCATGGCTTTCCAGGTCACAAAGGTACGCAAGCCCCCCCCACCTCGACAAGGTAGGATAAATGAGGGAGAAAATCATCAGTCACGCAAGTGTAATAATCAAACCATGTGTTACAACTGAGTATGACCCACATTTTCAACACCTGATTCCATTTCCACAATCTCTCTGTAACTAATAACTTTCTTCTAGTTTTAACCATGTTTGATTGCATCTGCACAAACTGGCTGATGATGGGCAAAACAAGACAAGCAACTGAATTAGGTTTTGTAAACACGTCAGTTTACTGAAGACTCTAAAATCGGCTTTGAGCCAGAGTTAAAGAAATTGATTTTGTCCTGAGACAGACAGTGGACTTGGTCTCATGTAGCCAGGTTTGATACTATCTTCAGTTGACTGGTACATGTTCTTACAAAACTAGTGCGCCACGCCGATGAGCAACTAAGCTCCACGTCATGAAAACTAGGTGAGATGGTAACAATACACGTCTTGGAGACACTATATTGTAATCCACGGTATTATTCCAAAACACCTCGCTAGACTCGATTACCCATGTTCTCTCCTGATAACTATATCCAATGTTAGCTCTAGTGTCTAGAATATTTGCTATTCATTGTAACTGAGAAAAAGACAATGCTGCTCACTTTCTTCTGGTCAGTGCTAATGAAGACGTATCCATTTCGCTGAAGTTTGCACTTCAAACCTGACTGGGCTTATACCCCGAGCAGGGTACTTGCAGGAAAGTAGGGTGGGAGTGTGCAGCCCACTTCCCAAAACCCTTACCCTATTTATGACCACAATCTGCATTTTTTGCTACCCTATTTATGACCTGACCAAAAATTTGATAACCTATTTGTGACCGTTGCGGCTGACACAGTAGCTCCAGACATAAGTTATGGAGAGCTTTTGTTGACAGTCTTATTGATATTGATGAAAAAGTAGCTTCTTTGGAGAAACATACCCAATTCAAGACTAGAGTGCTAAAACCATGCCCTATTTACAACCAAAATGGCCAAAACCAATACCCTATTTATTACCAAAAGGGCCAAAAAACCGTACCCTTTGGGGCTGCACATACCTATATAGCCCATATAAGGGAGTACCTCCCCCCCCGGGCTTATACTGCTTACACTTGGAATCAGTTTTTGTATGTAACAATGCTATACTGTCAATTACCAGAAGAAATCAATAATCTGTTAGCTCCGAAAGATGAAAGATATGTACGATATGAAATGCTGGAAAATAACTGAATGCAAACAATGTGTACCAGTCTACTGAAGGTGAATTGTAATGTGACGATTTTTTGAGAAATTTATTATTGTCCTGTTTCAAATAGCGTAAGGGAATGATATATCCTAGTCACTTTCAGTGCAAATGTAAAACATACTCTGCTTGTTAGCGATGCAGAATCCTTTGTGTAAAGGAGAGAAATTTAATATCTCTAACAAGAACATAATTTAGATTATGAACGTCACTCAGCAGCCGACATGCTGTCCTCTTCAGAAGTTCTTCCTCTAGCAATGCATGGTTTTCATTTAACACTTGACTACAAATGAAAGTCGTTATACGAACTTAAGGACGGTGCCTACTTTTGTTAGTGCGCACACGTTCTGCGCATCACGCAAGCCATGGTTTAAGCGCCACGCGCGCGCTGGGTTCACATTGACGCAATCAACTACGCTACCAAGTACACGCTTAAAATTGAAGCAAAATTTTCCTGCTGTGACCAAATCAAGTTTATTAAACCTGTACTTAAACCAGGAACACCAGAATAGCAGCATATCGCTCACCACTAACTGTTAACGTCTTCCAGGTAAAAAACCAGCTGTTATCTGTCGAGAATTATACTGAAATCCAGCTGTAAACATGTACCTGCAGATGGCGTAGTGCGCGCGCAAAACAAGTGCGAGAGATTCAAATGTTTTACTTACTGGGGAGGTGACAGGAAAAATTGTAACGGTCACCGTAAAAGCTTTCAAAAACGATCAATAACTTAATAAAACGCGTGGGTACCCCTACATTTTATGTTATGAAATGGAAGTGGCAAGCCTATTCAACACGTGATTAGTTTCTGGTTGTGAGCAAAAGGTATTTAGACTGTATTTTAGCCAAACCANTATTAAAAACATACCAAAAATGGTTTTTATGTTACCATTTACCATGTAGTTTTAAGACCTTTACAAATGTGTTTGCTTTTCTGTATGTAAAGGCGAATTCTCAAGAAAGCTATGAAGAAATATCATATCCTTCTTTTTGCAGAAAATACTGATATCATCATGTTTGTTGAGATTCAAGGCTAATTATCTCGAAAAAATGCGTGGCTACCCCAATTTTTCTTTGTGGATTCCAATAGCCCTTGCAAAGATTTACTTTTTCCGCGTGGTCCTAACCTGGCGCAAAAACCTTCGTATTTAGTAGGTACCGTCCTTAAGAAAAGTTATTGTTTTAAATTATTGTTGTAGTCATCTCAGTGTTATTTTAAGATACACATCAAATATTATAAATTTAGGTAAAAACATTCTGGCGTACATATCATATCATATACGTTATATCATGTCATATAAATTTAAGTAAAAACATTCTGGCATGTTTTTGTGCTATAATCTCGTAACAGGTAGTGGTACATAGACAACCACAAAGACAATGCCGAGTGAATTTGTGCCAGTTCCAAAGGATTTCAAAGGTCATGTCATTGGCAAGGGCGGACATATCATACAAGACATAAGGAAGAGGTCTGGGGCACAAGTTTGGTCACCAAGCTATAGTGAAGAGGAAGGGTTTACTGTCAGCGGGAATGCAGAGCAGATAGCATGTGCAAAGAGGCTTATTCTGGAAAAAGTGGTAAGTAAAAAAATAATGTCTTCGTAAACACGCCATAACCATGTCATGAAGTTATTCTTTCCAATGTACCTTATTTCAGTAGTAAGCGGCTTCATACGTGAAATTATCTCCCTTTGTTATATTAATAAAGCATAACATAACATAAAACCTTTATTTGACACGATAAGAGTTAAAGCCACAAAGCTTGTGGGGTTAAGTGGCCCATATATTGATAGTCCGGTGACCGAGCAAGATTAATTAAATCGTATATTATTACCTGTTCGGGATTGCCGGAAAAAAAGAAAATTATCTTCTTTATGTCATGATATAAGTCTTTCATGATCATGCACACGCTTTTTTAGTGTTTCCAAGTTCATGGTTTATACCTTTGTACGTTTCTTCAATCTGGTGTATATGACTTATTGACCTAGCATGAGATAAAAATAGCAGAATATCGACTAAGGTCGTCAGTTTTGCTTTCTTGTGTGTTGTGTGAGACCAAAAAAGAAGAAGGCCAACTTCCACTCATCTTGACCCAACAGGCCTGGTCCATGTATATCCAAAATTGTTTCCTCGTGCATTTAATGATCACAGGTCAGTTGCCCGAAGTGGTGATTAAGAAAAACAAAGAAACTGCCCATGCCTTCCAAAAGGTGACGAAGGGAGAAAGCAAAATAAAATTTAAACGCAAAGAGCTTCGAGATACATGTGTATGCCCAAGTTTGCAACAGTTAGTGAAAAGCAATGTCATAACCAAGGTATTAATAAAGCCATAAAGTTTCCAGACTACGCATTAAACATGTACGTGGTCCGTAAGAGTGCAAATTAGTATTCGTTCGCAAGTTTCCTAGAAAACACTGTCATATCGTTTATGGTTCATACCTTTTTCTTGACGACGTATCTTCGTTTAGATATATTTCTTGTACTAAAAAAAGGCCATGTTGATGAGGACGGATATTCTTTTTCCTCATGAGGTCAAGCCAAGCTGGTTGTTGAAAAGTGGTAGTAAGGTTGCATTGAATGACGAAAACTATCCTCCTTAAAAAAACTGAACGCTAAGGATGGCTGACTGTTAGGATCGAGACACGCCGATCACCGCCGGCGAGCAAATCGATCATATTTTGCCCAAAAATACCCTTAGGTGACCTTATTCTTAAAATCCTATTTAAAGGTTCCAGCGAATTTTAGTTTCTAGAAATTCCGAAAAACAGAAAGCGCGGTCAAAGTGCGCTTTTTCGTGTAATAAAATTACCGAAATAAGGAGTGAGGACGAAGCACTACTTAAAGTCTTAAAATAAATTCAAATGACTTCAAATTTCACAAAACTTTGGAACAACCATTCTTATTCACTTTTCGTTTTAAACTAATCTCAGATATGTCGATATAGTGGTTCTCTGAACCATTTTAAAAGCACCTCTGAAGCGTGTTAAAAATGGCGGCAAAATATAGGTCATGTTTGACAGCATAAAAGTGAATCTGGTGC